ACATCGACATAACAATAGACCCTGCTATTTTTTTTATTTTTATTTTCAATGTACAGACAGCACTTTTCTACAATTTTATTATATGTATAGATAAGTACCTACACTTAAAATAAATCGCAAACGTAAAAATGTTAACTACTGTTTCGTAGCTGTATATATTATTATGTAAGTTCCTAATTTAGTTGACAATGTAAGAAATTATTATCGTAATAAGAAGTTGATTTAATTAACGAAAGAATGTACATAGGCCTGACTGTCGGCGGTTAGCGGATTTTAAGAACCAATTTTTTTACCAATTCAATAACAAATGGGAAAATATTTAGTTTGTATACCGCTGAAGTAATGAATTTGCAGCATGTATTATGCAGCACCACCCTTCCGCCCGCAGACAAATGCTCATGGAGGAGAGATGCGTCACCATACACACACGAAACGCTACAAACCAATCGAACCACTATCAATATATAGAGGTATTCGCCGAGTCAACAACTCCTGAGGATACTCCGCGGAGGAGTGAAACATATGTCGAGAGTGGTTCGAGTGGTTTGTTGTGAAAGAAAAACTAAATATTTTCCCAGTGGCTAGTAAAGTATAAATTACCGCAAAGTGACGCTTGATTATATTCTATACATTTTGTCACGATAATTTTATGAAATTTAATAAATATTGTCTACTACAAATCCCGACACGGTGAGGTTAATTTTACATGCATATTAATATATGTATATGTAAATAGTACGGAGTAGATAGTTTAGTCGGTTTGTGTCCAGACAAATCGTGTATATTAATATCTAGAATCTTTCTATCCTTTAAAAATATCAAAGGAATGATATGATATTTTTTCAATCTAACCAAATTGATTCTCGCTGAAGCTTCTCTGCTCGCTACCAACAAGACCTAGCTCACTGACAGACCGTGAAGAAATAGCGTGTCACATAATTCATTCCTCATACCCGTGTAATATTCATAATTGTTACAAACGACATAATGCAGAATGCTGTCATTATCTGTCTACAGTTTAACTATTTAATAATAATATTATATTAAATGCTATAGATACGAGGTAAGCAGAAGTGTTACACAATAATTTACTTCGCCAATTAAGTTCTCAATGTAAAGCAGGAGATTTGTGGAATATTTTACATAGTCTCAGCCTAACAGGTGTAACAAGAATAACAAATCTGAACTTGGAACAAGTTCTTCATCAGCACGTGTCATTCTACTGTTGGACATAAAAGGTTTTACTATAATCTCATAATAAAAGTACCCTTAACTGACTTATGACTGTTGATGAAGCGGAAGAGGTAGGTATGTAAGAATCGTAGCAATTGGCATTTCATAGTCTCTGCCTACATACTTACATCTCGTGGAGTCGCCATGTTGTGGAAATAAACATTTTCTTATTTTGACATTTCCCGATGGATCGTCGTGTAGCTCCTGAAAATTGTCATTGACCGCAAGCAATCGAAGCAAACAGTTGATGACATCTTCAGTGGGTACCACAATCTCCATGCTTGAGGGTTGGAAACTGCTGCTGCTCGGCATCTGTCAAATGAGTTATAGTTTCTTAATCGGATTTTACAATACCCGCATAAAGTGAAAGGGTGACAAAATGTCTTCTATTCTTCTCCGCCATGACCACATAGCAGATTATTTGTTAGTTATTCAATTAAACAAATACATTCTTTTGTTACAGAATGCGGTGTACCATTGCGGCGGCACACGCGTCAACCTCGCGACCGTACTCCAGGCCAGCTCCGCATCATCAAGGGTCGGGAGTCCAAGCGGGGAGCCTGGCCCTGGCAGGTCGGTAATCAGTCAGATAATTAGCTAGAATTGGTAAATTGTGCCTTTTGTGATTTGCCAGTTTGTGTTAGTCACACAGTTGACTGCCTCGTTGGCCGATTGGTCGCCAGTGCGACTTCCGGGCAAGGGGTCTCGGGTTCGATTCCCGGGTCGGGCAAAGTATTACTGGGTTTTAAAAAATTCTCAGTAATAGCACGGAGTCTGGAATTGTGTTCGGTATATGGCAATAGGCTCACCCCCTATTATATGGGACTCATATTATAAATAGTGAAAAGTAGGTGTTACATTGTACAGTGGCATAATGTGCACCTCTGCCTACCCCTTGGGGGATAAAAGGCGTGATGTAATGTTAAGTTTATGTTAGTCAGTTTAGTAAAGTATTACTCTGTTTTTTAGATTTTCAACATACATTTATACCTAGTAGTCCAGAATAAAGCTCCATACTAAGGGTAATAGGTTCACCAATTTATACCCTGATACAATTGTCTCAAATATAAACAAATTTACAAGTTCCCTTTCTGCATACACCTTCTAGAAATATCAAATATTCATAATAATTTCTTCCTATGGTCTACTTTCAGGTATCACTTCAGCTGCTGCACCCCAACTACGGTCTGATCGGGCACTGGTGTGGCGGCGTGCTGGTGCATCCGATGTGGCTGCTCACCACTGCTCACTGTATTCATAAGTATGGTTATTTTATTGATTCCATAGATATAAGTTTTTGATATTTCTGTGATTGATTCTATCCTCATTCTATAGTCGTTTGAACATGGGTCTGGGCTCGATGTTAATCGTGGGACTGGGCAAATATGGGGCTTAATGCTTTATTCACAGATAGGATTAAAAATAGTACCTATTGATGAAATTAGATTTCTGATTATTTAAGCACATTTAAAGTGTAACTGTAGAATCTTTAGAAACTTTTAAAGGTTTTTCAAAATACGTTAAATAATAACGCACTGCTTTTTTTGCGTTCATTAAAAACTACATATTCTGCACTTAGTAAACAAGAACAAACTAAAACTTATTAGTAAATTAAACTAAAAGCTTACTCATAAGATTATCTCAACATAAAATATCATTTTTGTATAACCTCCTACACCTAACATTTCAGTGAACTCTTCAACCTACCGGTGCCAGCGCTCTGGACAGCAGTTCTGGGAGAATGGGACAGAGCTGAACAGAAGGGAGCCTATGTGCCTATCGAGAAGATTGTCCTGCACCATCGGTTTCATAACTACCAACATGATATAGGTAACATAAAGAAATACCTTTTGTTCATTCATTATTGAATTATGTTGTTTTATAGTGAACTAGGAAATTCAAAGCAATTCTCTAGTTTATTTTATAGTAAGAGAAAGTTATTCCATTGCTTACATTATTTTCTCAAGACTCTTTCTTAGTTCTTGGTCACCTAGACGATGCTCTCATTTTCTTTGCCCTTTCATAGTCAGTATCCTAAGAAGCCTTAATTAATTATGATTTTACGATTTCCAGCTTTAATGAAGTTAACAAGACCAGCAGACGTCAGCACGGGAAGTCGAATCCGCACAATCTGCTTACCACCTTTCGAACCACCGATAGACGCGTTCGGAACAGAAAAGAGCTCATCTTTCTACCATCGTCCAGAATCGTCAACAGAACCACCACGACGAAAGCCAAAACCACCAAAACCAAAGCCAGATACAGCTGTCAAATACCTAGAAAAACTGAATAATTTAACGAAGAATATCTTCTCAGGACTAGTGAACAAGAAACATAAGAATATGAGATATAACGTTAGAGTATCTAATGACTCAAATAGACAGACAGACAGAAAAAATGGAGATGAACTAAGAAAGTCAGATAATGAGAGAGGTCACAGTGATCTAATCTATGACAGCGCCACACTAGACAGTGTAGTTAAACTTATAAGGAACAGTCTGCTAAAAGACGATTATAAAGTCAATATAAACAGAAGTGACAAGAAACTTATGTTTGGTGAAGAAATTGATCCGTTTATTGATGACAATAATAGACTAGATTTCAAAGATGAGTGTTATACTACTGGATGGGGTAGGGAGCAGACGAATGGGACATTGACAGATGTTTTGTTGGAAGCTGAAGTACCAGTTCTACCTCTTAATGTTTGTAGGGAGAGATATGCTCTGACTCTTCCATTGAACGATGGACATCTGTGTGCTGGGAGCACAGATGGCAGCACAGGAGCTTGTGTGGTAAGTATAAACATTTTTAATATGAATTCTATCAATGTTTTTACGAGCATCCTCTTCGAATTTTCGTTTTCTGGGCTACTATTTGTTTGGAGGATTAATTTGTAAAATTATAACTACAGGAAAGAATAACAGTTTGAGCGAGACAAGCTTGGAAAAGAAAGTAATACTTAAATCCATGAAGTAAGCAACTTACTTTTGCTTTAGTGTCATATTGATTGAAAAAACAGTTGTAAAAATATGAACGTTTATGACAATTAAACATGCGGACATAATATTATTAAGGAGTAATTAATTACCTCCTGTTTGGAAATCTCCTTACCCAAGAGAGAGTAAAAAGAAACCCACTGTTATGATCTTCACAAAGAATTTTTGGCTAAAGTTAGTTTACGAGAAATTTTAATTGATCCAATTATAACCTGTACGTTGTGATGTTAATGAAGTATTTTTGATTTTATCTCCATTTAATAAACGAGCGTTGTAGTTTGATTTGATCTCATTAAAATGCTTTTAGATTATTACCTGTTCCAAAATATGTGTTCCTGAATTCCTATAAGCATTCTGATTGAATCTTTCACCTCTTCTTGGACTACTAGCTTACCTTCTGTGGTTTTACTTTCGTGCACTTCGTCGTACCCTTTCGGATGATGATTTAAAAGATAATATTAAAACAAACGATCAATTTCTCAGTACCTACCTACTGACTATTAAATAGATATATTGATTTCTTTACGATCGGCCATAGGCTAAACGCATGGCATACCAAACTGTCAATAATCAGATCATTATCACAGATAACGCATAGATGCTAGCAGATCAACCAACTCCTTTCGGTTATTCGATTTGTAACTTTATTAACTATATGTGAAGTTGAAAATCCAATGAAATACAATTAACAGGTTGGGGTATCTTGACCTACTGGTGTCTGTACACAGATGTTGACAAGTTATCATTTAATATTGCTCTTATTAATTTCCATGACATGACATCACATTGGAAAGTACAATCTGATTGGCTTTCACTCATCACACTGTATTAGGCTATGATAGACGCTGTGTGTGATTGGAAGGTCGTATCGGTTGCGATTTGGAATTGGTTTGCTGAATGTGAATGTCAATGTTTCGTTGATAGGTTGACAGGATTTGTGGCTTATATTTTGGTATTAAGAATACTATGCTTATTTATTTATTTAGTAGAATAAAGTATGGTGTCTGTTTTTGCGAAGGGGAAGGATAGGGCTCTAGACTGCCTCGTAGGCCGAGTGGTCGCAAGTGCGACTGCCGGGCAAGGGGTCTGGGGTTCGATTCCGGAGTCGGGCAAAGTATTACTGGGTCCTTAAAAAATCTCAGTAGTAGCACGAAGTCTGGAATTGTGCCCGGTATATGGCAATAGGATCACCCCCTATTACAGAAATAATAACATAAATAGTGAAAAGTGGGTGTTACTTCTGTGTGCACCTCTTCCTACCCCTTCGGGGATAAAAGCCGTGATATATGTACGTATGTAGATAGGGGTAGATATTCAATAAAATCTTGCATAACTATAAACTTGCCGCTATTTAAAAGTATTTCAAAATCTTTGTCCAGATCGTGAATGAAATTGGGAACTAAACCAAAAAAGCTGTCTATTAAAATTCAAATGATTTCCTTTATCACTCTCACTTCTTAGCTCTAAATATATCTCCATTTCTACCAAGCTCGGCTACGTTGATCACTGTGCAATTCTAGACCTATTATCATCACTATCATTTCTAGAACCCTATTCATCATTTCTCTCTCATCTCTTTCCAGGGTGACAGTGGTGGTCCCCTGCAGTGTCGGTCTGGTGGTCGCTGGGAGCTCCGTGGCCTCACCTCATTTGGGTCTGGCTGTGCTCGGCGTGGTGTACCAGACGTCTACACCAATGTTGCTCATTACGTCTCCTGGATCTATGCTCATGTTTATGCTAGCTAGTATTAGAATGTTGTTTGTATAATGTAATAGTGCTACTTGTACAGAATATTTCGTTTGGCAAGTGAATGGTGTTCTTGTTTTGATAGAAGCAACAATATTTCAATTTTTTGTCTTTGGATTTGTCAGTTATTGACTGACTGACTCGTTGGCCGAGTGGTCGCAAGTGCGACTGCCGGGCAAGGGGCCTCGGGTTCGATTCCCGGGCCGGGCAAAGCATTAATGGGCTTTTAAAAAAAATCTCAGTAGATAGTACGGAATCTGGAATTGTGTTCGATATATGGCACTGGCTTACCCCCTTATTACTTGGGACTCATAATATAAATAGTGAAAAGTGTTAAATTGTACAGTGGCGTTCAATGCCGTAATGGGCACCTCTGTCTATCACTTCGGCTAAAAGGCATGATGTTATGTTTGTATTTATGTTATCAAGGACAAAAATTATTTATTCTAATTTATTTTGATTACCAATTTGTAAATATATCCTCTAGTCTCTGTTATGAATTACATATTAAGTATATTGTTAACTTTATATTTGATAATTAATGTAAATTATTATTTGAAGTACAGTATTTAATAGTTACCCAATAGTTGACAAATACTCAGTACAGTTATTTATTCTATTTTATTTTAGAATTATATATTTTTTTTTCTAACTTAACTCTCAACATATGTAAGTATGTTGAGAGTATGAGAGAGTATGTTGAGAGTATCTATGTAGATAGAATTAAGTTATTTATTTAAATAGATTAACCACTCCATATTACCACTCAAGATAACTGTGATTTTAATTAATGTAAATATGTCATAAAATAAAATGATAATCTAAACAAAAATTAAATAAGATTTCGATAATGCTCATTCAAAACTCTTTTTTAAGAAACAGATAAAAAATATTTGATTGTAAATTTCGTTCAATAGACATAAGATTGTACTCAAAACAATTTAAGATTTTACCTTTGAATAATTATTAATTTTTACCACTTATAAGTACACCGTGAAATCTATTTCGTTTTGTCCCGAAGTAAAATTGTTCTGTCTTGGTAATACAATAGTTTTACAAGTAAATAATATAATAATAGAATAAACAGTAGGCTGCGCGACATCGCTGCGACCGCGCACGCTGCTCATGAGGAAGAACCCCTCTGTGGTTCGAAACTAGTAGAGCTTTTCTCAATATATTCACGTGAGTAACCCGCGATTTTTAGGTAATTTAGTATGTCTCACGATAGATATTATAAAAACATAGGAAATAAATTGTTTAAAACAAAAAATAAATGATGAACCATTGCAAAAAGCAAACTCGAAAGCGCATACGACCTCATAGTACATTATCAAAACATCATGCCATGTAATTCTCGATGAGGTATTTCTCGTCGGGTGGCACGTGCGATGCGAATAGTGCCTACAAATTTGCGTCTAGTTTTTCATGTGCGTATTTGCTTAATTTTAAAAAAATACATCTTTATTTGTAAATATGTTTTTACTTTATACATCGATAGTACTCCTTATGGCAAGTTGTTTTGCCGCGTGACGAAACGAAATAGATTTCACGGTGTCGGTAGTATTGTTATTACCCGGGTAACATTATCATAATTACCCATTCCATGTACAATATTCAATATATACTTACCATCTTAAATGTATGCTTTGTTATTGTAAATACAAATTATAATTAAATTGTTAAGTAAATAAAACATTTGTTTATAAATTGAAAAATATTTTATTTATTCGTAAAAAAAACATTTCACCATCAGTCTATTAGATTAAATACCTTATAATTATATTTACAATTGACTTATAAGTTATAATTAAAATTAATATCACAATTGCTAAAATTTATAAATATAGTTGCTTTTTTAACAATAGCAAGGGCCAGTAAATGAAATATTGTATGAAAAATGAATACTGGTTTTTCACTATGAAAAACTACTAAAAAAACTGAGCACTGATTTATCATTTAGTTCGCCATATGTTGTTAGTGATAGCCTCTCGTTCTTCGTCCAATAGGAGATTAGCTAATATCACGCCATTGGGCGTTGAACAATTGACAGCTGCTGTTTAATATTTAACCTATTCTTAACAAAAAATTATTTTTACATTTGCGCCATTTAGTGAGTAAAAATCGTAAGCTCCCAATGAGCTACACTCATGCTTTATCAGCCATCAGTTTTCCATCGTTAGCATCAATTTCAACCACTAAGCATTTCTTATTTAGTAAACATATTTAATAAACAATATTGACATGTTTTATCAAAAATAATATAAATCATTTTCAATTTAAGTAATTGACGTAAAGTACTATCTCTTAGATTTTTATTAATGTGTTTATATCTAACTGATTAAAGACATATGTTAATATTGTTTACTAAATAGGATAACTTAGGACTTGTCCGCACAGCGATATTAAACAGTGAGGATTTTTTTTCGAAATTCCTTATCACACTAAATCATATGCAAGTAGCTGCGCTGGCGTTAAAAAATTTGTACAGGAAAAATCTGTGATTTGATGCGACTTGATCGCGATGTGGTGCGCTTTATTTCTGCGCGAATATTTTGTACAGTATCAAGTAAGTATGGCTGTGTCCGCACTACGGAATAAAATGCATGGACATGGGTCTTGCCTATGCCTATGCATTTTATTCCTTAACTCGTCGAGTACCGTCATTATAGAACAATAGGTTGCGGTCACCGGTGACCGCTTGGTGTTTGACAGTTTAATGCCGTAAGTGGGTGAATTAAATGTTCATAATATCTTTTGATATGTTATTACGCCACCTTAGTATTAGATAAATTATAATTTTAGTTCGGTTGTCAATTCCAGACGTGCGCCTCAGCCGAAAACTCAATTACAACTCACAAAAATTGTAGGAAATTTTGTTTGTGGTGCGTACTAGGTGGAATTCCGACTACGGAGTATAATACGCGAGAATAAATACCTACCTCGGTGAATTATCGCTGTGCGGACCGGCCCTTACAAAAAACTAACACCATCACATTGTTTTCGATCCTACCTACACAGCACATATTTCAAAGTGGAAAGGTCTACAGCCGGCATTAGCTTTCACTTTAAATTGATTGTTGATCAATATCTAAATAAACTGCCTCGTTGGCCGAGTGGTCGCAAATGGACAAGGAGTCTCAGGATCGATTGCCGGGTCGGGCAAAGTATTAAAAAAATCTCAGTAGTAGCATGGAGTCTGGAAATGTGCCCGGTATATGGCAATAGGCTCACCCCTTATTACATGGGACTCATAACATAAATAGTGAAAAGTGGGTGTTACTTCTGTGCACCTCTGCCTACCCCTTTGGGGGTAAAAGGCGTGATTTTATTTAAATGTACCTAAATAAACTGTCTAATATTCGATGTCAGGAATGTCAATTAATTAAGATTAACTACCTAGTCTATACAAATAGAGCTAATAGACATTAGATACGTCTGCTCGTATCGAATAAGATAACCTCATACCTTATTCTCTCTATTCTATTCTATTCTCATTAACTCCTATCTAATTAATATTGAGCAATTTTATTATCACTAATCAGCTAATTACGCAACCTAGCAACACATGGATGCAATGTATTTATTGATTTGCAGCATGAAATAAATATTATGTATTGGTATATGAGAAACAATGGAAAATATTTAACATTTGTCTCGTTTTGATCGTGTAGATACCACTGATGTGGCAAAAGTCTATAATAAGCTCTTTACATCAAGGGCTAAGCTTATATTTTGTGTTCCTGGTACGAAAATAAGTTGAATAAAATATAAATTTTAATTGTTATAGCAACATTGCCCGGTCATTATCAAAAATAGCACACAAAACATAGTTTCTTACCAGTTATACCCGAAACTAGTTATTATTAAAGTGTAAAATGTTTAATTAGTGCTCAAATATATTTTTTTTTCGCCCGTTTCACCTGCATAATTGGGTAGTTTCCAGGGTATCAAAATTAAAAATCTAATTAGTCCGTCAGTTCGACAATGGAAAAATATTAGACACGTATTTTTATTTTCGCGTATTAAGTTGCAATTCTTAGATAAAATGGCGCTAAGTTTAGGAGTGGGAGGTCGTTACGTCATAACGTGCTACAAAATGGGGCACGCTGTGACGTCACGCGATATTTCAAATTAATATATCGTCGAAAGTATTTAATTTTGTGAGAAAAAAAATATGTGTCTAAAGTTTTAAATTAATGTACCAGATGGACATTAAAATAAAATTTAGGAAACTACCCTATTATTATGTTCTTATGTTTAATGCCCGCCAAAAAGGCAAGTTATAATGGAATGCAATAGACAAAAGGATTAGTATACTGAACTGAACCAACTTCAGCAAACAAGCTTGCAAGATAAATTACTAATTTAAAAACACACTTACATCCTACAGGATATCAGAACACACATTTATAACATAGAACCTTAAATAGTAATAACTTACCTTTACTATAAAGGCAAGAAGCGCTTGAAAAAACCAGGAAATAAATTCCACCATAAAGCAACAAAATTGAGCAAATAATCACAACCTCATTCATTATCAGAACTGACCAGCAAATCTACGAATTCACTATCTTCTTCATTAATAGCTAAGAGGGAAACAGCCTCTTTAGCCAGGTCCTCATCATCCTTAAAGCTAAATCCTACATTTTCGGCCATATTCAGAATAACACTACTTCTCCTTCTTTCCGAACTCTTTCTCCTAACTATTGGAGCTGGAATATCTTTTGGTGGAATGATTTTGTACTTAGGTTTCCAGATCCTGTGAAGTCCTTGGCCTGCAAGGACCAGACCGACGATGATGAGGATGACTTCCAGTGTGATGATTAGAGGCGGTGCGTAGAGCAGGCGCAGGCGAAGGAGGCTTGTTACCTCTGATGGTGGTTGGTTGCAGTACTGGAAATGGAGAACAGTTTAGTGACGTCATAATGGGTTTTGAATTGGAAGTACTACACGTTTAATAGGATTTAGTATCGGGAGCATTTGTGAACTGAGACATTGTTACAGGTGCTTTAGTTGGAAATGTACACACATGAAATTTTAAGTCACAATCATGTCCAAGGCGTCCTTGAAATGAGGCAATCAGATTATTCTGAGAAAATATTAGCATACAATTTGCGTAATCCCCATAAATTACCTATTATTATTAGATAAAAACTATTACTTGTCATAAGCCCTAAATGATTGGCGTTATAATGGGACAAATTCTATTTAGAAACTAAAATAATTAAATTAAATGATGTATCATTACACTCACCAGAGCAAACCACATGATGGGCAGGACCTTGTCCTTGAATGGAGCTGTGATGGGGTTACCCTCATTCATCCTCACTGCCAGGTTAATCTGAATCTTGATGGAGAAGCTCAAGGGTGCTCCAATAGTCTGGAATGGAAATTATTTTTGTTTGTCATTTTAAAATACCTTATGATGCTCGAAAAAGTAAAATAAAAGAAATCCATTCTAAATTTTGTGACTAATATTTTTGAAAATTCAAAAGCCCTATTCAAAAGCTCTAATGAATGAGTCTTAGAAGATAAACGAAATCTAAAACAGAAACCTATGAAGGCATACAATGATAGCCATTAAATTAAAACCTAAGACAAAATACATCAAGACATCGTGTAATGTAGGTCAGATTTTACTGAACTAACCTTTAAGACTACAAGATAAAGACGCAGTTAACGATCATTACATTGTAATACTTACAATCTCAATAAATATCTTAATTTTGCTATCTACATAGTCCTTGAACTGATGAGCATTTTATAAGTTTGCATAGCGTTTCGTCGTGTGAGGTTACCGGAGCGGAGGCCCAATTACTCCCTCCATTCCCTGAATTCCCAACAATCCTCAAATTCCTTATCCCTAAAAGGCCGGTAACGCACTTGTAACGCCTCTGGTGTTCCAGGTGTACATGAGCGACGCCGATTGCTAACTATCAGGTGATACGTATGCTCGTTTACCGGGCTTACCCATAAACAAACCATTATATTCTATTCAAGTAGCAACATAACACTATCATAACCGAAGTAACTTACCGGTTCCAATTCAAAATGTGATCCATGTTTCTTGAGGTCCGGATTCATTCCCTCAAAGTGCGACTGCTGCACAGGATCTGTGTCCATCATATGAGGTTTTGATAGAGATATTGGGAAACCTGAAAAAAGAACATGAAAATTCATAGGAAAATTAACCAAATTGCATTCCAAATAGGGTTAGCAAGGACTAGATCTACAATGGACATCTTTTGGGTGGCTACCTACAGGGAAAAGTTCTGCTAGTAAATGATTTGAAATGTCAGGAGTATTTTTTATCGCAAAACTATCGATTGACGCTAGTGTTTGTTAGCCCACAGCATTTTAATAATGACAAAATCACTAGCCAAGTACATTGAGGAAAATATTCTGTCATTCGACCTTACTACAAGCTATGCGAAATTGACTAATAACGATTGCTAAATATAACCGATGGTACCAACCATAGTAACAATTGCTGACATCTACAAATCCATCAGGAGGACAACCATCACTACAGTTACAGGCAAAGGGAGAGGTGCTGCTGAAGGCTGTTGGGTCCATTGTGTATCTGAAACAAGAATTATAAATCAATAGAGATCTTTTTTAAATACGTCTAGTGGTTAAAGAAGGGTTGGTGAAAAAGTAGATGCACAAATTTGCATATTTTGATGGAGATGGACATTTTATCACTAAGGTTTTTTTTAAGGGGTGAAAATCATCGAATGACTGCTCCCGCCTGGGTAAGGCGAGAGGGAGTATCAGACTCTTACTGACTAAAAACCACCCCGTTCCTTCTCCTGCACGTCGAGCCAGAGCCCCAGTAACCCGTTAGGTTCTCCGCGACATCACTTAGGTTAGGAGTATCATGTAATTTGATATGGGTATCGCAAATATTCATATTTTCTTCTGTCCATGCATCCATCAATGTCCATTAATCCACTCAAGCATCTGATTTGGATCGATTGATCCACCTTTGAAATTAAGTTAATAATATTATGGTCTACTTACAAGTAAGAGTTCAGTCCAGTATTCTCACTCTTGCTTTCACTGACAAAAGAGAACGGGTAGTTCCTGCAGGCTTGCTTCCTGAAGATGGTGATGTTTTTCCCCTTGGGGTAGTTGGCTGGCAGCATCAAACCTTCAAATGACCCTTTGATTCTGTTGCATGGTGTACTGGAAGGTTGAATAGGATCTATGATTAGTTTTAGTTCTAAAATTTGACGATCATCATCGACCTGAGTAGGTACGTCTATTGCTGGGTAAAGGTTTCTCTCTTAAGACGATCGATGATATGGTCAGTATTAGGATAAACCCAGGTGTTAATTATTTGATTTCATAATAATATGAAAAACTCGAATGATGAATGAGAAAACTTTGTTTTATTTTTAAGAAGTCTTGTTCTTCTAATTAAAGGTAAGGGGTTTTTACTAAATAAGTTCTATTTTTAGCTCCACTACTACAAGAAAAACAACCTATTTTACGTATTGTAATTCAAGTAAACAAAATACTCCTGCGGTCAAATACCAAAAATAATTTTGACCGATAAACTTGTCTCGGTCATTGGAACATAAGGTTTTAATGTGAAAACAAGAAAATAAATCTGCACACTGTTCGAATATCAAAGACAAGACCTAACTTAGGTATAATAAAGGTATAAATGTTACGCTTATGCCTTTAACTGCCGATAAAAACTGTTAAAGGCTAATCCTCCGCTAGCCATCATTGTCCGACACGGCATCTAATAATTACTTCTAGTATTCCGCTCGCGATTTCATCCGTATATGATGACAATAAATCACTCCATTGTGACATCAACGAAAGACAGATAAACAAACACATTGTTCCCCTTACTATATTAATAAGGATTTCGGCTTACCTAGTTTCTAAGTCAGTAAATCCTTGCTCCAGAAGACCGCTGGTGTTGTCCCAGGAGTTCAAAGAGTACCGTCTGGTTACATTCGCCAGTTCCACTTCTGACGACTCGTTTTTTTGTGAATAGAACTGTGGAAAACAAACATGCGTGAATATAACGGCACGTCTCTTTGATCCAAATGTAGCAGTCATTGTTACAAGTAGTTCAATAAATGTGCTCATAGATGGCGCTAAAACTAAAATATTGCGCATATGTTTACTTGAGATTGGACTTTTTAAAACTAGATACCTAACACCCGTAACGTCATTTGTTTCATGGAATTTGATTAAAATACCTAATGTATGGTAGTTAGTCTTTTTGTAAGGTTTCTATATAATTATGTCGTCTCCAGTAATAATACTAGAAATAATAAGCTTCCTCCAAAAAAAGCTAGTAATTGTAACTGTCAGTTAATAATGACTGACCACTTATGATGTCCAAAAGTCATGAAACATTACATTATCTTAGTCCAGTACACCGAACTTTGTAATGGCATAATATTTTATACTATACGGAGTGTTACGGGAATACACCCGAAACGCGCTTACAAAAAACAATAGATTTTTCTATTTTTATCGTTTTTGTTTATTTTTATTCATGCAACATCAGTCTTGAGCAGTTAATTACAACTATTAGTGCATAAAAAAAATATTTAGATCCTTATTTTTATGGAAATAAAACTTCTTATTGACCATCATCTATAGGCGTTTTTCGGGAGCGGTACACCTTGTATAATACTTATATAGTCAGTCCACACAGTTCACACACTTTCGTAGAATAAATATAGTTATATAAAAAAAATACTAGTGGATCCGATAGACGTTGTCCTGCATATCCAAAAGAATGTATAAACAAAAATTCATTCAAATTAGTTCAGCCGTTTAGGATAAATAACCTAGAGATCGACTACAGCGCCATCTGCCGGGCTGATTTGTGAATCTAAACCATCCAGGGCGCCACTCAAACGTGTACAGATTAATTGATGTTTCAAGGAGTTCAATGACATACAAAGATATATAGTTTACCGATAATTTAAAATTCCCTGACATGACTGAATTCTCCACGTACTCCAATCCTATCAATTGATTATTTAAAAATATGAAATTGAGTAAGAAATACTAACCCGGTCCAAAAGTCCAATCTTGGCAAAATCAATCCAACCAGGCAGCAAAGAGTTGGCAATGGTAACAATAGGGTCATGATAACCCCAGAACATCTCTTCAATGGACAGGTCCTTGAACAGCTTGGAGCCAAGAGCCGACATGGAGTAATATGCTCCAGCATTCGCGAAGTAACCCAGCTTGTCTGCTGCTAATGTGCTCATCGCCTGGAAAAAAATAAAGGGGATTTTAACTCTTATTTTTTGCAGGTCAAATAAAGACTGCTTGTATGATAGGAGTCATGGTTTTCTAAATACCTATATGGCACTGATGGGGTTTTGGAGACGTCTAGCTATGTTTGGTAGTGGGAAAACAGGCTGACCATGATGTAGATGATTAAAAAGAAATTGGATTCAATGCATTTTTTTACGTAATGTCCTGTATTTTTGTGATGGCTGAAGAAGAAAAATTCATTACGTGTTAAGTTGTAATTGATCTTCCTTATCGAAGAATTAATATTTTAAGCAAGTTCGAAGAAGTTTTTTAAAAATGTGGCACTAATTTTGTTAATGTTTTCGCAAAATTCATTACTTACAACTTCACATTTTTTATATATCACATTTAATTTAATTTTTTTCGTGTCCTGTATTTGACGAAACAGGTTGAAATAAATTGATTGAATTAATCTTTTCATTATTGAATCACTCATTTATTTAAATATCCAAGATAACATCTACACGCACTTCAAAAATGTAAATAAGACAAAGAAAAAAATTGACAAAATGTATCAACCGGACAACATAAAAAAAAATAGTTAACCTTGAAAATCAATTAGAAATTAAAATATCCTTCATTATAATATTTACTAGTTTCGCACGTTTTTTACCTACATACATATACGCTTACATTTATTTTGCCATATACAAGTATAGTCAGTACCATAAATAGTATTCAGGTAAGAAATTAAAGTTAGACTCAGTACAAAGCAACCATTGGTTGGCTACTGAACCGAACAATGGACACAGAAGATATGGCTTTTTATAGGATAAGTCGGTAAAATAGCAGACGGATCACCTGATAGTAAGACGGATCACCGATTGTGATCTTGGTTCACTACATAGTATAAAACAAAGTCGCTATCCGCCGTCTGTCTGTCCCTATGTATGCTTAGATCTTTAAAACTACGCAACGGATTTTGTTGCTTACAGTGATTCTTAAGGAAGGTTTATATGTATAATACATGCATATTGCACCCGTGCGAAGCCGGGGCGGGACGCTAGTATCCCATAAAAAACATCGAGATTAGGGATAAGAGGCGGAGTAATTGGGCGTCTGGTAATCTCACTCATACGACGAAACACAAAGCAAGCGTTGCTTCACGTCGGTTTTCTATGAGGCCGTGGTATCACTCCGGTCGAGCCGGCCCATTCGTGGAGAAGCATGGCTCTCCCACACAGAGCTTGGTCAAATTTTATGAGTATAATAATGGCTACTGTCTCTATACTTAGTCAATCTTTATTTTCGTAGCAGCGCAATAAATAACTGTGCTGACTGTACCTATGATTTCCATTAATGACCCATTAGCCGAGACATTGACTTGTGTCGGTCACAGGTTCACATAAAATTTTGTTGAACCAACTCCAAACGTGATGATTAAATTATAAATCAAATGATATGGAAAATAAGTTTGTTGTTTTGTTATTTGTTCTTTAGTTTTTTCTCATGCATGAGGATGCGGGTTGGAACGGCAAGCATCAATGTGACACCACTGACAAGCGGTGAAGGAAAATATCGTGAGGAAACGTGGGCTCATAATTTATAATTATAAGCTTGAAATCGCCAACCCCATGCTATGCTCCGTGCTAGAAGAGGGGATTGGTCAGCAGTGGCCACTTATAGGCTGTCGGACGTTTAGTTCTTTAGATACTACTAGGCACCAGAGAATGCAGACCCCGCGAGATCTCGCCATAAAAACAAAAATCCTTTAAATCAATCTCGCCAGATCGAGATCGCATTCCCTGTAATACTCAATTGAATTAGTTAGTTCTAAACTATGTGTCGAAATAAATAGCTTTTTATTTAGTTTATGTTATTATGTATATACTGGCGAAATACCTTTATAATCTAGATCTGAACAATTTAACGCAAGGAAATTGTCGGCATCGTTTTCAAGCTTGCTAAATATAATGTTCAGTTTAAAGAAAACGTTGATCTAATATTAGACACATTTATTAAACTTTATAGACCCACCCTATAAAGGATAATGACTCGAGTTTTTTTTTGTTAAATGTCTAATTTTAGACTCGCATAAAGACTACTTTAAACAATATGAGGTTTTTGACCATAATAATGCGTGTTACTTATGTATAATAATATCATCAAAATATAACTCATTAGAATGTTTCCTTGTAAGGTCTGTTGTAGTTAATCCATAAAGTATACCTAATATACAGTGGCAAATCAACCTATACCTGTAAAACTTAATTAGATTTTTAGCTTTATTATTTTTTATATAAAGCCGATAATCCCGAAATCCAATAAACTGTATCGCATGAGGAAAAACATAAAAGGCCACCTCTTTTGTTTTACTTAATTTCTGGCATGCAGAAAGACGTTGATTTATACTTTAAATAAATGTTTGAACTTTATATTTAATTACTTTTGTGATAGCAAAACTATTTATTCACGAAATAGTACTTAAATTGTGTATATAGAGGTAGGCATATAAAAACTATGTGAAATTATATAGACTGACAAGTAAAGTCCACATTTAAGTCCAAAGGGTCGGCTATGTACGATGTTAAGTGAATAATATTATTATAGTACATATTTAATTTTGGTATATTACTGTGATTTTTAGATGATTGCCATGGCACTTTTTTATTAGGTACATACATAGTAATTCCCCGGAAGGATGATCTGACCTTTTTTTATTTACTTTTTATTTACGCCATCACACTAGGATTTTCTCCTGCATTCTGGGTGCGTTTATAAACATACAATTTGGCACTTGCCTTAATCAAAAATAAATTATTTCGACTGTTCAGTACAATAAAATATTTAAAAATACTCACACATTCATTAATTCATTATGAGACTAACTCAATTTTAGTAAGTATGCATGCCTTTTGACGCTAAAAAAACATGACGTTACAATACACAATCTCGTACAAAATTCATAGAAAACTGTCGTTTTTGACAGTTCGAAAAAAGTAGATATTGTTAGGTTCTTCAAGAGGGGAGTGATTAGGTTTCTTAAGGGTCGGCAAGACGCATGTAATGCCCCAAGTGTTGCAACATAGGCCACGGTAACCGCTTACCATCAGGTGGGCCGTTGCCACCGTCGTGGTATAAAAAAATTGTATTAAAAACGACACGATAGTTACACGTTCGCGGCTGCCGGTCGCTCTAACATGCAGTGAAAAAAAGTATTTGTAGACAAATTTTTAACCGACTTCAAATGTATGTAGGTATGTTTGTTTGTGCGCGATTAGGTATCTCACGATTGGCTGAACCGATTTTGCTATAAAACCATTTAATTTTAACTTTGCTATACAGAAATATAGTTATTTAACGCTTGTTTATGTCTCATTCTGAAAATTAGGGTAACTGAATCAGCTTCTAGCAGCACTTACAAACCTCTATAAAAACCAAGGGGCCACCAAACATGACCTAACAAATGACTGTAATTACCCAATTAAACAACTGTTTGTTATTCTATTTTTTTTATTACAATACTTGACAAAATAGACAAAACTAAGATAAGAAACGAGAATAATAGATCACGGAAGTAATAAATTAAATGATTAACAATAACTAAAGATAAATCCTGGTATATCTAAGTTAATTGTATTTTAATGTGAATATATGAATCAGTGTATAATGTTGTTGTTCAGTATGTCAGTGGAGTAACTAATTAAGTACTTAACGTCACGTTTTTATCCCCTATGGGGGGATCCCACGCGTTAAATGATATCCATAAACTACAATTAAAAAAATCCTATTTCAACTTCTTTTGTTTTATGAAGAACTTTAGGTTTATACAATTTCGCAACGTAATAAACCTGCTTGCATAGTTTAACAATTTTATTTCAGATAATCGCTTCAGCCAGCTGTTTTCTTTTTATATTTGATAGGCTGACGTTTGCCCACTATCTCGCCTGGTGATGCACGATGATGCGGTCTACGATGGAGCACGTCGTCTCATAAGCAACTTTCAACTCGGGCCTTGAAGACTCCCATGTTATATATACCCTTCAGAAAATATAGACACTGGCAAAGAATTCCACTCTTTAGCAGTACGCACAGGGAAGCTTGATGCGAAGCGCTTCGTGCGTGTGGGTGGATCATCTACTATGAATCGGTGACGTTTCGCCGATTGTCTTGTGGTACGATGATGGAAAGGACTAGGGGGAATCAAGTTGTGCGATTCCGATTATCACGATCAAATATACACATATAGTTTAAACTGAGATTTTCCTCCTTTTTTTTAAAGTCGTATAAATACACAGAAGGGGTATGCAGAGGTGGTCTTACACGACCCACTGCAGCAGTTTTCACCACCCGAGAATTAAAACTATAGAAGGCAATGGCAAACAAGGCAGTCACGCATACCATCAACGATGATATTTGTTCTTTATAAATATAACTTCAAATAGGATTATTAGAACTACTTACAATAAGAGCAATGTTCGGTATCTTCACGGTGACATTATGTGTGTCAGCGACAGACTTGTCCAGCAGGAACTTCAGCTTCAGTCTCGGGTTCATAGTCATCACGCCTTTCTGCTTATCTATCTTTATGTTTTCGTTCGTTCGCATTTCTCTGGAAACAAGAACAAAGTGTTATTTTTTGTGTAAGTAATTGGTGCACAGTGTAAGCATGATAAGGTATAAACTTCGGTTCTTGTGTCTGACAAGGATTATGATTAATTTGAAATTCTTTTTGAATTTTAAATCCTGTTTTTACATAACATAACGTCACGCCTTTTATCTCCTTAGGGGTAGGCAAAGGTACACATTACGGCACCTAAAGCCATTGTAGGTACAATGTAACATTCACTTTTCTCTATTTATGTTATAAGTCCCACGTAATAGGGGGTGAGCCTATTGCCATATACCGGGCACAATTCCAGAGTCCGTGCTACAACTGAGAATTAAAAATAAAACCCATTAATACTTTGCCCGACTCGGGAATCGAACCTGAGACCTCTTGCTCGGTAGTCACACTTGCGACTTGCGACCACTCGGCTGATGAAGCAGTCCTGTTTTTAAAGTTACTTATTTGGTCTTCTCGGTTTAGTATAATCTACATTTTGTAACAATCGTCAATACAATTACAGTTTGTTTTGACCATTGACTTGCTGAATTGATTTTGATCATAATTAAACTAACTTACAATCACAAGTGCACATCATTTGAGTACAGTTTTGACGTAAGTTTTATAACTCTACGTCTTTGGTCGTAACCACAGTACCCATTTGTCAGCAGTTAAGTTTAAAACAAACATAAATTGCTAAAAATCCTGGGTTTCCCCGCTCCCAAACCTCAGTTACCGAAATATCGCTAAACCAGCAACAAGGTCGGAAATTTAATATGGTGCAACTTTTGTTCAAACACAATGTGTAAGACTAGGTTTTAAACGCGACTTTATCGACAAAAATCTCTTTATTTTATCTGATTTTATCCCATCCATTCTATGGACAAAATTGCCAGTGCTCTCTCACACTCCTATAGAAATGCCTACAACTAGAAGTTTCGGCTTTACGTTGTCTTTAGGTCGTTCTATCATTCATTCAGTGGTCCTGTGACTTAGTACAGGTACACAAATATTCCGAGGATTCTCAAGGAAAACACCAATAGTAGTATAATCTTCAAGGTTGTCCGGCGAATCTTCTACCAGTTACTATTAAACTAAGTTAGCCCGCATATCCCCAAGCGGTCACTGGTCACCACTCTCCACTAACTACATTATAGACCTTATTTCCAAGGTTTTTTTTAAGGGGGAAGATCATCGAATGACTGCTCCCGCCTGGGTGAGGCGGGAGGGAGTGTCAGACTGTTACTGACTAAAAACCACCCCGTTCCTTCTCCTGCACGTCGAGCTGAAGCCCCGGTTACCCGTTAGGTTTTCCGCGGCATTTTCAATGTTTAGAGACTACTTTTGTATGAACTAATTTAGGGTATGATTTTCAAAAAAATTCAACGGGTTAGAGTATGACGTTATTTTGTGTCGTGCGGAGGTTGAAAGGGAAAGCTGAACATCGGACACTGCAGAGACGTCCTAATAGGGAGGACTATATCCATCAGCTGACGAAAATAAACTGATGATGATGATGATGATGATGTCCAGTATCGTTACAACAACAAACACACAGACATGTTGATATTGATGATTCACCTCATCTGTGTGGTCAGCAGTGGTCAACATTAGTTCAATAATTCACATGTGTGTAATAAAGTGACATGTAGCAAGCATCACGTTTTTGCATACATTTACTTACTAATACAATCATTATCCTTGCGCGATACTGACTTAGAATTATAAACAGCTGATCATAATTTTGAGTCAGTTTTGGAGGCAGGTCGTGACTTTTTGACTTTTATTTTTGGTCATGAAATTGTTAAAAAATGAGGAGTTTGTCGTCTAATTTCATTGGGCTGTATTCGCGCAACGAGAATTGTATTTACGATACTAAATTATGTATGTAACGGTAAAATGGGGTGCGTTTGCAAACATACAAGTTCACATACACATGACACCCAGACCCGGAACAACTATCTGTGGATCACACAAAGAATTGTTCCGTACGGGAATCGAACCAGCGACACGTTGCGCGACCATCAGTTGCCCAATCACCGCGCCTACCGTGCAGTCAGTATATCAATAAGTTTTACATTATTTTGTGTTGTTTAAACAACAACTTTATAAATAGACTATCCCCCTTTATCTATCAACATCCTGTTCATCCAAAGGTTGGTTAGATAAGACCAAACAATAAGATAACAATGATAAGTATAACTTTGAACCCTTTGGGTACCTACTGACTTTGTTTTTAAGTTTTTTACAGTTCTTGTCACGTTTTCAATCACTCGACTAATGGGGGCTATGGGATAATAATTATGGTCCCGCAATGCCGCAGAGCCGAGCAACCAGTAGCAGCGCGACAGTCGCCGCGTCGCTGGTCGCGGAATGCTGCTCATGAATATGCTTATTATATTAGACAAGACTGCCTCGTTGGCCGAGTGGTTGCAAGTGCGACTGCCGGGCAAGGGGTCTCGAGTTCAATTCCCGGGTCGGGCAAAGTATAACTAGGTTTTAAAAAATAATCTTAGTAGTAGCACGAAGTCTGGAATTGTGCTCGGTATATGGCAATAGGGTCACCCCCTATTACACGAGACTCATAACATAAATAGTGAAAAGTGGGGGTTTTTCTGTGTGAACTTCTGCCTACCTCTTCGGGGATAAAAGGCGTGATGCTATGTTATCTATTATTATATTAGAGGCTGCTCTGGCATGGCTTGAAACTAGTCGAGTTCCTCGTCAAACAGTTACGTTTGTAAGCCGAAAACATAATAATTAAATTAGTATGTCTCACAAAAGTAAATAAGATTTAAAAATGTAACTATACCCCACTTATGGGTGTTCAAATCTTGAATTTGAACCAAATATCTCGCACTCAGCATTCGCGTTTACAACCATCCTATCACTATGGTGGTTGGTAAAAACCAAGCTAGATTCTATTCAGATAAAACTTAATTGCTAGATAAAATAAAGTAGCCATTAAGTGTTACGTACTAGGAAAACCTAATGAGTCAGTCAACAAACTCAGTTGGACAAACTAACCACTGGTTGTAAGATAATATTTAACTAATATAACTTAATTAATTAAATCAACAAGGAACACGTAATACGTTACAAGTAGGTAATGTTTCTTTGAGAAGATTGTGTGTTTTTTTTACCTGGTTTTCACAAAGATTTGGATAATAGTATTTTTCTAAACGTTTGGTACACACTAGAATTTTCTCCTGTGGCGTAGGTGCGTTAAAAACATTCAAGTTTACAAACATACACATGACACCCCGAAACAACAATATATGTATAACACAAAGGCTTGTTTCGTGCGGGCATCAAACCTTCGACACGTTTCGCGGCGTCAGTTGCCGAGCCACCGCGCCAACCTCGCAATCAGGGCTTATTTAAAACGATAGTTAAAAACAAAGATGAAAATATCATCACGCTTTTTACATCCTAAAGGATATGTTTTTATAATAACTATCGTGAGACATACTAAATTAACTAAATATCGCGGGTTACTCACGTGAATTTACTGAGAAAAGCTCTACTAGTTTCGAACCTTCAAGAAAAGAGCCTATTCCTTTTTAAAAGGCCGGCACGTACCTGTGACTTCTCTAGTGTTGCGGGTGTCCATGGGCGGCGCTGATCGCTTACCATCAGGTGATGTGTCTGCTCGTTTGCCTCCTATTCCATAAAAAAAAAAACCATCTCCTAAAGGATAAGATAGCTCATAATACATTCACTTTTAACCAATATTAAGAGTTCCGTGTATTAGGGGACAGGTCAAAAAATAACTAATATGTATTTTTCTGCTTGACCAGTGTCTAACTAGGGTCCCTTAGGTACATACTTAGGTAGATCAAATCATAAGTAAAACACATAACTTCGTAAAATAAATACTTACTGAAATGTGAATGGTCCAACTTCATTGACCTTCAGCACCTTCTCAGCTCCACTGAGATACTCCTGCGCATTAGTATAGTTGAAGACCCACATTTCGGAGAACATCTCATACGTTGGATTCGCCCACATATTGTAGAGAAACGAACCTTCCCGTATGTCCATGTACTGTGGACAAAGAGAAAACATACTGTAAATACCTAGGTACATTATATCAAATTAGGAAACATTTATAAAATTTCTTTTTAACCGACTTCAAAAAAGGTGGAAGTGAAGGACTCACATACAGCTACAAACTGAGCTGTATGTATGTAAGTAAGTATATATGCGTGTTTGTGCGCGAATTAACTCGTCGAGTACCGGTTTTGTAGACACAATTATAGAACAATAGGTTGCGGTCACCGGCGACCGCTTGGTGTTTGACAGTTTAAATTAGCATCCAGTTACGCAACCACTGCTTGTAGTCGATTTGAGTTTATAAAAACTATAGTATATAATAAGTATTACTAGGAAATTTACACACCTTCACAGATTTTATCTTGCTTTTGGTAATAAAAACTTATTGGTTTTAAACCACATCAGATTTTATTAACTCAGAAAAGCAGGGAAATCAGATCGTACAATCACTACAATGCACTATATTGTTAACATCGAAATCAAATTACGAAATCAGGACTCGTTAAACCGTAACTATTGATTGTAAAGAAAAACAACAACAGTACATAAATAGGCAAATTGACTTTCAAATAGATTATAATGTCCTTAACACAAAATACGCCGTCTCAATAATTCCCATGTTCCCGCCATTTTGATTTTTTTCATTTTTCGAACCACAGATTAAATTTTCCCGCTAAGCTATGACGTTTCTTTTTTTTTGTCTATGTCTTCTTACGGTATAATAGCTTTTAATTAGGTAGAAAAATATTTTTATTAAGATCTCATCTGAAGGTTGCTGTGTAGTATACACAGTGACCTTCAGAACTTGGGGAAAAGAGCGTATTTCTTCTTAAGGACCGGCAACGCACCTGTAACCTCGCTGGGGTCGCAGGTGTCCACGGACGGCGCCGATTGCTTACCATCAGTTATGCCATCTGCTTGTTTGGCCCCCATTCCATAAAAAAGTGTCATCTACCTATGAGATGAACGAAGGACTATGAGTATGACACATTCACACAAATATAAAAAAAATATTGAAGTGAATGACGTCCACAATTAGCTACTTAACAGTTTTCTAGAATTATTCCATTTGTCATTTGACAAATAAATGGAATAGGTAACCGTTTTCTAACTGTTATTTCTTTTGTATTGAATGACAAATAAAATATTTTTACTGCCTACAATATGACTTGTTTGACTGTAATATTTAAATATGTTATTTTAAACACTAGTTGTATGGAAAATGCAGTTACTGTTACCGTTACTTGTATATTTTGTTTTTATATTGTGTTATTAGGTAACTGTTAGATGTAATGTAACATTGTATGACGTCACGACGTTTGATTCTCGAATAGGTAGGCAAAAGTATGCAGTGTAACAACTGCATTTCTCTAGTTATGTTATTACCTCCATGTTATAGGGTACCTACGGCCATGGCTATTTCACAGGATTCAGTTTCCATGCTACTACTAACTTTCTGAAAGATCGAATCACATCAAAGATCAACAGCCTATAAGTGGCCACTACTGACCAGAGGCCTGTTCTTGCACAGACAAGATTTGAGCATTAACCACCACGCTTGCTCAATGCGGGTTAGGGATTTCAAACTAACTTATCTGCTAGATATTTTCCTTCACTGTTGGTCTTAAACCTTCGGACTACCACGGCATTTTAGAAAGATGAAAGAATGATTAGGTACAATCTAATCGCCTAGCTCGATTTTAAATCACGCGACCTGTATTTTTTTTAGGTGGGAATGGGAATCATTTGGCCCCATTGGGCCCCATCTGTGGTGGTCTGATGGCTCATCGCGCCGCACGATCGGGACTCGACCAGTATAGCGGATCAAGTATGATAAAAAATTAAGTGTCTATTCGCGGTAATATAAGGATGTCATAAAAAGTTGTACCATAAATGGTGAGATATTCATAAAACATAGCTCTAATTAAATCACACATTTGTGTAGTTATAAAAACTAAAGTCACGGTTTTTGTAAAAAAAGTCACTTCTCGTCACCAGGTTGATGATAAATATAATTAGGCATTTTAGGGTTTTCCCAATCTTGAAAATATTGTTCGAAGATATATTTTCCGTTTACAATATTTTTTTTAACCTTTTCCTTATTTTGTATCGACTTCAAATATAGAAAAGGAGGCTCTCAGATTGACCTGCGTGTATATACATAATGTACGCGATTACCTCGCAATTGGCTGATCCGATTTTGATGCGACTTTCAGAAAAGTAACAAACACTTATCTAATAATCGCAATTCGGAGAAGGTTTTTAGTATATCAATTAACCGACTTCCAAAAAAGAGGGGGTTAAGTCGGTTTTTGAAACGTGGTTTATAAAATAATTATTTACAACTCATGATAATTCATTGCTGAACTATTGGTCTTCTTATCATAGTATAAGAGGATTGGCGATAATCCCCACACTTGGTGGATGAGTTGGAGATTGTTATTTAAAAGGTTTATATTTATCAGACACCACTGCTACCCAGTGTATAAATGTGCAGTCGTTAAGTCGGCTTTTATGACAGACGGGGGAAGAATGACGCAGGTGACAAATACATTATCTGCAGTTATCACACTGCTTCGTAGTAAAATTATACCTATCTTAAATCATCATATCTTCTTTCACGATATCAGAAAGTAATCAATCAATTTGAACCTAATTACGTTGTCAATACGCAACATATTACTTTGTAACTTAGGTTGCAACATAGCAGGCTAGGCAGACGTGTTTAGTTCACCTAGTCACCTAGGTATTACAGTAGATAACTAAAATGTGATGCAAATATTAAATTAAATAATTCTAACATAGAATATAGGTATACGTTTTAGTACTTCGATAATGATAAAAGATACGTAAGATTAAATAAATAGGACAACGAGAAAACAATAAGTATACGTAACCTAAGTCAATTATTAAGTTTTCGGCTTATGCACGTAACTGTTTGACGAGGCTCATATTCATGAGGAGCATTCCAAGACTGGCGACGCGGCGACTGTCGCGCTTCTACTGTCGACTGCCTCTAGGCATCGCTTGAACCCCAGCCGTCTCGGGAGACACTCCGAATACGGGTTGGAGGTCGCGTGACGATCTCCGGCCACCAGAACCAGACCCGTGCGTACGGCGCGGCGCGTCGCGTTCTGCGCGCGCCTCAAAGAGCCATCAGACGGGGCCCAGTAGGTCTGATGCCCGATACGGAGGTCGAACGGGTTGCCGGGGCTCCAGCTCGAAAATTCCCATATACCGGACCCAATTCCAGACTCCGTGCTACTACTGAGAATTTATAAAAAACCCAGTAATACTTTGCCCGACCCGGGAATCGAACGCCGAGACCCCTTGCCCGGCAGTCGCACTTGCGACCACTCGGCCAACTGGGAGGTTCTGTAACATCTTCGCATATCAACGGAACTCATCACTAAGAACAACGTTCGATTGTCAATAGAATCTTCTGACGCATTGCACAAATTGTTTGTCAGCTACCGCTGACACAATACCTGTGTCAAATTAAATTGTTAACTCGAAATGTTTTTGCGCGGTTACCGTGAATGGCATTTGACCCTACACCGTAGTCGGTAACTAACCTTCAATATTGTTAGGTTTATTTTTAACTGTCGACTCAGAATATCTAAGAATTTGACCGGATGATCTTTTACGTGTGCAAGAAGATATTTGTCTCGCATTTTGCAAAACATTATCTTAAATTTTGGCGTCTTATGAATGGGAACTGTACCGAGTGGTCACGTACCATTGACGTGTAATAGAAAAGTGTATATACTATATATGTACTTTAGATGTAATTTTTATATGAATGGAAAAGAAAAGATATTTGTTATCACTAAATAGTATAAAACAAAGTCGCTATCTGACTAATCCAACTACGCAATAGATTTTGATGCGGTTTTTTTTTAATAGATGAGTGATTTTTAAGGAAGGTTTATATGTAGGTATAATAGATGAATATTGTGTAAGCCGGGGCGGGTCGCTAGTTTCACTATAATAAATGTTTGTTAAAGTATTTATTTAATCTTGATAACTATGACTATATAACTCAAAATCAAGTTCAAATTTTGAGTCAAGGTAATTTAAACTCGACGAATATAACAGGGTTTGAAATTTGTTCAACTTAGTAATGATAGCATTAGGTAGTCGATTGCCTCTTCAAGAGCCAACATAAACTTCTTGCTTTGATCTTAAGTAACAGAAAATATTGTAACTTTCGTGAGATATACTAAATTTATTATTATATTTTCGGATTACACACGTAATTGTTTGACGAGGATCATCGTGTGTCGCAGAATGCTGCTCATGAATATGAGCCTCTAGCATGGCTTGAAACTAGTCGAGTTCCTCATCAAACAGTTACGTGAGTAAGCCAAAAACATAATAATGAAGTAACAGAAAACTTTTTAAAGTAAATCTTTTACCTTCCAACCTTGATGCTCAAAATGTTCAAAAACGGTACAAAATCCCATCAGTCCAGACTAAGATTCTATGAATAAAAAGAATCTAAGAGGAGCTAAGTATGAGCTGAGTAATTTGCTAACGATAATTACACAATTTGGAAAAACAGTACCTAGACCCCTAGAATCATTTGTTATTGTAGTTTTTCATTGTAAAAAGTTAATGACCTTAACTTAAGATATATTTAGCCAGACAATCGACAATTTAATAAAAACATGAACATATTAATTACATTATAATAATAAATATATAAATCAATTTTTATTGGCACATGTAGGACCAGATTCTTTAAAGCTACATTAAAAATCCGAATTTATTATTATCTGTGGTATTTCTATCTGCCTATAAATAGAATAGTTTTCTGTATTTAATATTTCAAGTCGCTCCAAAAAAGGAGGTGTGTCTATGGATAAGTCAATTTTTTATTTCTACTTCAATTTTATAAACACCAAATTGTACGACGGATCGAAAGAGTAAAGAAATATTCATTTACTATCGAACATTTTACTACGATCTTAGACTCCAATATTTATAAA